ATGTTCTTTTCCCGCTGGTTGAGTGAAAGTAGGAAACTATCTAAACTTTCCTTACCATAAGGCCAGATGAAAAAATAGTCATCCATGCATCTAACCAACAATTTGGCTAGTACTATTGCCTCTTGTAGAAGATGTCCCTCCAGTCTTGTCATATAATGGTTCGCCAAGATGGGAGCCAGGTAAGATCACATCGCTAGTCCTTGTTTTTGTTCGTATAACTTACCATCGAAGGTAAAATATGTGCTACTCATGGACAGGTTAATAAGTCTAATTATGGAAGCTACACTCAGCCTTATTCCTTGTGCTACCTCTGGATGGTCCGCCTGAATTTGTATCAGAGCTTGAATAGCTCCTTGAACAGAAATGTTTGTGCACATAGACACATCAAAACTTAGTAGCAGGACCAGTATAAAAGATAATTAGCCAAATTCCTCCATATCTAAGTTTTTTTTGCCTAATTGAGTCTATATAAGAGGTAAGACAAAGCCGGATAGTATTTTTGTCTTAGTGTTAACTTGGGAATTTTACAAGATTGTGTCCCAGCTCTGATGATGTTCTTCGAATGATGGACGAAAGCTCAGCCTTTTCTCACCCGAAACTAGGAAGGAGGTCTAGTTGATTGCGTCAACCTGAACGTCGTATTAAAGCCAAACGGCTACAGTAGAACGGGATACAGCCGTCCTCTTCTGGTGAGATCGACCTACGAATCTCTCCTTCATGCACTTCCATACGAAATGAATATCTCCCCAATAACAAATACTCAACAACGAAAATGTGCTCTGAGGCAGGAATAGTGATTATATTAAACAAGTTAGTAAATTCCGATGAAACATTTGCATTCCACTAAGAATATCAACTATGAATAAGATTACTTTGGTTAATTGGATAGGAAATCTAGATAAGAAGAATCAGCGACATTGAGTAAAGAAGTAAAGCGAATCCGGGAACGATGGCTACTACAATAGCAATATTTAAGAATGTTATCGTAGCATCCAGGCGTTTCCTTAAGCATAAGACTATCCTTTATGTCCATTAGATGACTTTACAAGTAGTCTACATTGTAAAACTAACATACGTAATTGAAATTCCGGAAAATGAGATACTGCCGTCAAACATTAAATTTCCTACAAATTTAGCAAGGAAGGATAGTAAAGCACTAGGATATTGAAAAATTATGTATATAGAGAAAGCCGCTTACTTTTAGTTGCACACATCGTTCCCGTTCAGCTTTAATTCTTTCTAAATAGCTGGCGTTCAGAGACATCAGCCTAGAATTGTCCTTAGTAAGCTGATAGAGCGTGGCAGCCAATTCCTCATCATCCTCATCTTCTTCTTCATCATCTTCCTTCTCTTCCTCATTTTCCTCTGGCTCTTCCTCATCATCATCCTCTTCGTCAGTGAAATCATTAGCATACTTAAACTCTTCATCTTCGTCCTTCCACTCCGTTCTTTCGTCTCTCTTTTGCTTCATTGCTAGAACCGCCTCATGTCGTTCGCAAATTTCCTCTGTCCTTTCAACTTTTCCTCCATTATCTTTGACTTTCCCATACTCCTCTTCCTCTTCATCTCCTGCATCTCCTTCCTCTAACGTAACTAATGCTTGAAATTCTTCCTCTTCCTCTCTTTCCTCCATCATATTTTCCTTAGTACTTGCTGATTCCTCTTCTTGTTGTGCACCGATAAACCTAGCTGTCTTCTTAGATGTAGTAGCATCACTGATGAACGATTTGTCGCCAGTTGCAGCCAATTCTCGTCGACGTCTCTGTCCTAGAATTGAGTGAAAAAGAGCGGAATTTTCAGATACAGCGACCGTTTTCAGAGCCTGCACGTTAGGTTGATCGTTAGCTGTTTGTAGTTCATCGGATTCGATATTATCCGGATTTAAAATCATAGACCAATTATCAACATTGTAAACAGGATCTCGATTTTGTTGCATAGTTCGATTATCAATGTAGGTCTAGAGTATCAATGTTCAAATAGAAGAAAGACACATAAGGGGAAATCACTGAAAAGGATAGTCAACAACACGCACGGTTCAATAAAAAAACTATAGAAATTAAAGAAATGAGTTGACCTCGTTGTCGTAACA